AAACCCCCCCCCCCCCCCCCCTCTATACCAACTAAATTGCGTAAATTCCCTCTTTTTCTCTCTCTCCATCACTTGCCACATCGGCATTTTGTTATGATTGCATTCCATTTGACTATTCCTCAATCCTCGTCAGCATCATTATTCCTCACGTGGTCAAGCATATGAAATGTCTAACAGCTAGTAATTCGCATAAGCATTAGATATTGACGTCCATGAGTCGCAATAGAAAATTCTATGCATCTAGACAATTCTTTGATTATTAAGCATAAAACAGAAATTCTTTGATTATTCAGCATGAAACAGATGCAAAAACTGAACTAGAAAGTATACCAGTTAATGTAGGCATGCTGCTTGACAGTTGACATGTTGATTTAGTTTCAACATATCTCTCAATAAAATACCAAGGTCTAAAAACAAGTACAATTTTTTTTTTTGAAAAAGGAAACGTAAAAATGACCTTGCTTTGTGATATGATAATTTCAATTTTAAAAATTAGAGACAATCAGGAATCCACTTCAAGTAAAAGCTGGCCAGAAAAACTGCACGTGAAATGAACTTGGAAGGGAGAAAGGAGTGTACCTCAGATCATCATCCAATAAGAAAGAATTTGAGGTCAGATTCTGATTGTCCTTGCTGACAATTTCTCTCATTTCACTAACTACCTGTTTACCATATAATATATTGTTCAGAACTCCAAAGAAACAACCATCATAGTTGTATTTTGAATCAATTAAGAACACAACTTGCCTCATTGGATACACTTTGGGTTCCATACTTGTCATCCCAATACATAGTGCTGATTCGATAGATTTGCCTCACAGTCAATGCCTGTTCACAAATGCTTTTAGTTTTCTTTCCAATTTTATATGCTTATACAAACTGTATATAAAGAATATTGTACTCAATACATGCCGGACATCAGACACATGCTAACAGGGATAGAAGTTTTCGTAGAAATTCAATGAAACAGTAATATGGTTTTCAATATTCTATCATATTAACATCCATATATAGGTTTTATATTAGCAAACTTCTACTCCAACTCCAAAGTAATTCTGAAATATTTGTCTTCGTGAATGACAAAACTAAAAAACTGATACAGGATAAACCGAAGACTAACAAAAAATAGCATTGCATCACAGATTTTTCCAACATGATTATCATACCGGACAAAGATCTTGCCGAATCTCTTCCAAAGATTTCTTCCTCTTCTGATGTATTACCTGTATAATTCAAACAAAGGAAAGCATAATAAGAGATAGCAGTTCTGTTTGACGCCATTCAAAGTTCAACCAAAATAAGTCGATTTTTATACCAAGAATCCAACAGCTTGTCGTATATAATTCAGCTCATGCCAGGATGTCCCTGCATACTACATTTCACAAGTACTTAGTCAAATACCCATAAAACTAAAATTTCAAAGTATCAGGTATATCAGTCTACCTCCTCCTTTGCATTGACTATCCATTTCTCCAGTTCTGCTAGACCAGACTTCACATATTCACCATTTGAGAAAGTGCAACATTCACGACGCAAAAGCAGACTAAAAAAAATGAAGTTTTGAAAAATAAAAAAACCGAAAAAGGAAAAATCAACTAAATAAAGGAAAATAGTGATTTGAAGCTACAAAGAACCTTTCCTGCAATCATGGTTACTTACCTGTTGAAGAGTGTAATATTGATGAAGGAGAACACTTGGGTAACTAGCTTACGGATGAAGAAGGATGGCACCTGAACATGCAAAATTTAGGCAAGACAAAAAATTTAGATACAGCGAATGGTTGAATCTCGTTAACACTAACAGCTAAATTCACAACCACAGAAATCATCATTTATTTGTCCTCCAAAAATTACTACATGTGTTGCAAACTACAAAATCAACAAGTAGAATGCATCAACAGACATCCAATTGTCACTCTGAAGCTTCAACTGAACAAACAGTAGTAACCACTCTGTTAATATGTAGTATAATAATTGATCACAATTTGTTCCATCATTCCATTCCATTCTCCCTTAACTCACTTTACTGGGAAGTAGGATTTTACTCCATAATCTACATGCAGCTCGACCCTGCTTGAATCCTATGGTTTACATCTTTACCTATTTGCTGTCATATGCTATAATGGACCCAGCATTATTGTGTGTTGAAACATTATTGTGTCTCCTGCAGAACTTACATTGCATACACCCAGTATGGTACATATGAACAGTAGCATTTAAATTGTAACATATAGTTGTATCTCTTAGAATTTCCTTCTCAACAGATGTGCAGTAAATGACAACACATGGATTTCACATAAGATATACAAGGACAAGGCAATGTATCAGAAAAAATCTAGAAAGCAAATTGCATAACAAATATCTAATTGTGAAAGTCCTAATCTTTCAAAATAAAAACAAGAAATAGGGCTAAAGAAACCATTGAGAATGGACATAACAAAAGAAGAGTAGATGAAGAAAAAAATATTTTTTGATAGAAGTTAATGACTGTCAGCTTATCTATCTTTTGATAGTGCTTAACCGGCACTAAATGCTAGTTATGTAACAATGATGATGCAGGTTCACTGGTGACTATAGAGTAATTTTCCCTATGCAAGACCAAGGAAAACTGAGTAACAAATAAGACAAATGCATATATATGCAGTGATGTTTACATTTTACAATTGAAGCAATAGTACATGCAACACTATTTATCCATGCACCAAGTCCCATAGTATATGGTAACAATGAATTTTCAGACAAACAATAAAATGTTGAATGCAATGAGCCTTGATCCCAGTTCAACTTGTTGGCACCAAAGAAGAAAATTCCTCTCATTAAGCTTTTTGGGTATCGTACAAGAAAACATGCTCGCACAGAAGAGAAGGTTTGGCGCGGATATTGTGGGTTTGGGCTGTAAGGTGAAGATTGTCTCCACTTATATATTCTACTTTGGCCTTATCCCTAACTGACATGAGACTTGGATTTTTTCCCCAAAAAATTAATTCTATTACTCTAGACCCAAAAAAAATCAGTATATGTAATAAACATGTTTCTTGTCAGCTTTCAAGTTCATCCCAGCCCCAGATGGCACACAAGTCTCAACAGTCAAAAGAAAATTATAAATTATCAAAGGTGAAAGCAGATATTGACATATCAACATAAAGTTTCACTTTATTAAACTTCCATTTACAGGTTTGTTTAACAAGGAAGTGGAAAGAAAGGCTTTCAAGGAAAAATGAAAGGTGCATAACAAATATAGAGGAAATTAAACCTCCAGTGTATCGACTATAGATGTAGCACCCAATAATACACAAAAAAAAAATAATAATAATAATATACAATGAATTGACCATACACAGTAACAAAGAGACCATTGAAACTACAGAACATACATGATTTCCACGAAGTTTGCTCATGAGTGAATCCAAAAATTTGACAATGTTGCCCCACTGACCACCAGATGATTGTTGGGGAAGCCCACCAGGAGATCTAGATGATTTTCCACCATGCACCCCTCGTCCTGTTTTGGGTGCCTAACAAGTCAACAGTAAATTATAAAATTAAAAACGAACCCAAAAACAATAAAAAAAAAGGTAGACAGTTAAATAAAAAATTTCATACTTAAAATGTAAACTGGTGCAGAGCCTAAAGTCTAAACTATGCAAGTTATCATAACCCCCACTTGTATTTTACATTAATAGAAAGAGAGTCTTGAGTTCTGAAATTCTTTTGGAAAATACATGACACCCATTGAAAAAACACAATCACCTGAGTAAAGAAACTAAATGACTACATTCACTGAAGCAATGAGTGAAATTAACTAATCAATTAGTTTCTTGGTCAGGAAAAAGGCTTCATTCCCTCGTAAAATCCCCTAGTTTTTTCTTCCTATAAAACCTAACTGTTTTTTTACCTTCCCGGTCATCACAAACACAATGGAAAACCAATCACAGAAATCAAGTTTCTTGGTTCATTGTCAAAAAAAAAAAACAGCTTTTCAACCATAAACATAAAAACCATAACTGTTTCTTTACATTTCTCCACAAACTCCAACCCTTAGCCACCCCCTAATATTGAAGGTTACGACCATGCAACAAAATCAAGTTGAACATCCAACATATAATGATGTTAAATGGAAAGAAAAAAAAATTGATTGAAAGCAAGAGGGAGCTACTGTTACTATTAAAATACATTAAGCAAAGAATAAAGCAATTCAAACCCTGAGTCCCTGACTCAGATAACTCTGCTCCTCAAACCCAGAAAAAAGCATTTGACAATCGCCATTAAGAATCAGATTACTTCAAGATAGAACTTTCTCTTGAATTATGAGTTATGACCACAAGAATACACAAGAACAAAGAACAAAAGCACAATGAATCAACAACTGACATGGTAGTTTAGCAGCAAATAACACCTCCAAAGTATCAGACTATCAGTAGAAAGTAAGAAATGTCACCTGGATACATGATCCCAGAAGTGGAGAAAGTTCCTTTTTCAAATTGTCACGTAGAAGACCAAAAATCTTCTCTACAGAAGCAGTTAGTTGTTGCTTAAAAAGTATAGCAGGATATCTCGCCTCCACATGTGATATACCATCATCATAACCAATAAACTTCAATGGAGATTTTGGACCCTAGAAATACCACCAAAACTAAATCAGGAGGAGATACAATATAAGGCAGGGAACATTGACAACCAGCATAAAATGGGGGGAAAAAAATCAAAACAACCCATTATAGGAAAAATTAATAAATATATCAATAAATTAAAAAATACAGAAAATAAATAAGCATTAAAATAATCGATGCTATCCATAAAAGGAGACATCACTAACAATAAAGAATAGGTTGCTGTCCATTTTCCTTGTCATCACATTCCATAACATAGAAATAACTATATTTGCTCTCATTTTTCTTCAATATTTACGTTTCTTTTGGTAGTCATCTTTCCCATAATTTGAACACACTTTTCAAAAGCAAAAGCTTATTGGAAAAATCACTTACCACTATACAGGTGTAAGTGGACAAAGTGGAACTTTGTTCCCAGCCATCTGCTTATTCAATTATTTGCAATTTTTGAGGAAACACGACCATTGCAGGGAGTTAAAAAGTAACATCATGTCACTTTTATACACTATGTATAGCTTATTGCATTTTCTTTAACCTACATCTTGTTTATGCACAAAAATTGTATCACATCTTTTCTTTCTTTTGTTAACCTGATGTGTAGGTCCAGCTCAGTAACAAAACTAACAATTGCTTATTCATTTTAATATTTCATTAATGTCACTTTCATTTGGAAAAGGCTATTTGGTGTCAGGTAAATCCTTGGGATGTGCTTTATTACCTGTTCACACCTCAGCCCCCCATTTGCTAGCCAAACCTTTATAGCCCATGCATATACTAGCCAAGCTCATCCTAATTTTGGAAGATACGCCTTTACAGTTTCATCAGTTCTTGCTGACAACTTTTCTTGGTTTATTTTCTTCTTTTCTATGTTTATTATTTCTTCTCATCTTTAGTTGGAAATAGGAATATTTTAGGAGATAGGAACTCCTTTAATGTTTATTTTTCCAAGTTTCCTAGATACTTGGTATAGCAAGGTTAAATGTATCTTAGGAAGTAAATCTTAATTGTTCTCTTGTAAATTGTTTTGGCATTAATTATCTTTGTAATTCTCTTGTATATAAATAAATTCATTCTGCTAGGTGGGATAATTACTTAAGCATATTCAGAAAATGAGATCTTTGTTACTCTATTTTAACATCTTTTTTAAGTTCCATACTATCCATCCTTCTTCCTTTCTATATTTCTTTTAGTGGATCTAATTTTTGATACAAGTGCTTCATGCACAGCTAGCTTTTATTGTGTCTGTCATTTTTAAGCTTCTGCATTTTTATTTTTCAATTTAAACAACTTAGTCAACTTACAATATGACATTGCTATCTTTTTTTTTTTTTTGGGAAATCAGTTCACTGATATTTACCACCTTTAATATCTGTTTAGCAGTTTAAAAGAGAGAGAGAGAGAGAGAGAGAGAGAGAACTAGACATTTCTTAACTTCTGCAACTTAAATGACAAAGAGGCATCTTTGTTCTGGTTTGCATACTGTTCTTCACACTTCAGAGTTCCTTGCGGTTCATTTGTTTTGGGTTGGTTCTTCACACCATAGTTTATCATGGTCCAATTATTTAATTGTTGCATTCATTTTTCTTAATATTTCCATCATCCTTTTTTTCAACTGCATTCCTCTGTTAACATTTCTCTCATTGCTAAATCAATGGTGAAGGTATTTTGGAGTATGTATTTTGATTATTAATCATGAACATATCTTGAACTTTTATTTTTACGCATTTATGTGTGTAATATAAGTTATAAATTAATTTTCAAGCACCCATAATCTTTTTTATAACGGTCATCCAGCTATGTCAGCCACTTTGCACCATTATGTAAGATTAATAAACTAGTTCTCAAAAGATACCTATTCATGTGTTGGTGAAACAAAATACAGAAGTCAAAAAACCTTAGTTACATTGTTCGAAGTTGAATCTCAAGTAACCGTTCACCTATCTTCCTGGACCATTTTCAGAAGTTAACAGCCCACAATTTAGCCAAAACCAAATGCAACATAAACCAAGTGGATCATCACCCATGTAGGCACGGAAATTACCTACATTACCTACATAATGGAAGTAAAACACATACATAAAATTCTAATGTCCAACTAGATAACTCACATGCCCAGTCCGGCTGGTCAAACCAGATGATCCAGGATAACGTTGGGCAGCAGTAGTTAAAAAGCCATTTGAACGCAAGTTCCTCTGTAAAAGGCATAGAAGTGCGGAGGTATTGGACAGCCAATATGGCAAGATGATATCATCCTCCCTAACCTGATGCAGATAGCACTCCAATGAATAAATCACATAGAATAATTACCCAAATATCCCACAAACTGGATAAAGGGCTATAAATAGTACGCTGTGCCAACATAAATTAGTCATAACTCAATCCTAAAGTCTAATATAACACAAGAAACAAAAAATAAAAATAATAATAAAAATAAAAGGCAAGTTTTAAAAATGAAAGCATGTCATTTACCTTTAGAACCTCATTTATGCCCTCGATTATGGAATCGAAAATGGTCGTGCGCTCAGATTCAAATGCATGCCAATGAAGAAGACATTTGTATATGATACGAGCTGCAATAGGTTTACCATTTTTGAATCCCAAATTTTCTTTTATACACCTAGAGAGGAATTCATAGTTATCCTGCAAAACACATGGTATCTATCAGCTAGGGGTACACAATTATATAGTAAAATGTTGCAGACATTAGTTTATTACTGAGCTTAATAAAATATTTTTGTCTTTGTTTTCAACTGATTTTTTATTTTCTACCTATATATAAATCTAAGTCAATTGTCTTCCTTCCTTTTTTGAACCTGATGCAAAGATCAGAAGATATAGAACAAGATTGGATCAACTCAACTCAACAAGATTCGCACCAGACTTCTTTTTCAAAAGGATGGCAGTAACACTGAATTTGCCAGGACAAATAATAATAAAGTTTCCAACCACAAAAACCTCACCCACAATCACCAGTTAAGTACAGTTGGGGTGGGATTTCTTAGTGAAATCTTTGGAAGTGGTCTCCACTCCCCATATCTTAATCAAATTTAGCTTCCCTTCAATTGCTACAACTACACATGACCATAACTTCTAGAAATTTCTATGACCCCCATTTTACCCCATTACTAAACTGATCCTACCTAAGAAATACTTTTTACCCTCTTCTCATCCTGTATGTTCAGAAGTTTGTTCTCACAGTTAGGGTTTTGTGGCTAGTTCAGAAAGAAAATAGTGGCTCACATTGAGCATAAGTTCATTTATTCTTCTGCTTGTTCCTCCTATTTTTCAATCATGAGAAGGATTTTTTTCATAATTTCTTCCAGATTGAGCATAAATATACCACTACAACAATATTGGTGGCATTAAAAAATTGTTATCCTCAACATTTTTGCATTCACCTGAAGTAGCAGGGTGCCAAAACTAAACGTGTAGGATTTAGGACAGAACAGAAGCGAAACAAATCTACCTGGTGCTTCTCTGCTGTTAACTTAGATTGACGAGAGTCTGACAAGCCTAGTGTATAAGGGGCAATAAGTTTTGTGGGTGTGGGTGACTCCTGCATCAAATCAGACGAAATGAAAATAACCATAACTGTGTTTAGTAATCTTTCCAAAAAAAAAGGAAGATGAGAAAGTAGGAGCATACATATATGGTTTTTCGTTCAGTGCGGGAGGCGATTGCACTTGAGTATTTCTGTAGCAGAAAGAAAAATAAATTAACAAATAATACTATAACACAATTCTCAACATGCCAAAGTAATTAAAGATGTTATTTGCCTGAGAAAAAGAAATAAATGATAAGAAATTAATAGCAGAGTAACAGACAAAATAAACTCAAGTATCTTGGAATTGTAATAAATGGGGAAACTTACTTCTGACAATGACTTGGCAAAACCTGGACGGTTACTCTTAAGAGGGGTACTTAAGGCTTTCTGACGAAGCACATGATTTTCATCCTCTAAACTTAATAGTTTTCCTTCAAGCCTGCATTAAATTCAATTTGAGAAAAACAAATTATGAAGAAAAAAAAAGTTTTTAAGGCACCACACACAAGCCATCAAAATTTATAGAAAATCTCAAACTCTAATGAAGACAAACAAGAGCAGTGGAATAGGACTATAGGAATACATGTAACATCATTCGGTAACAATCATTTTGTAGATTGGATAAGAGAGGGAAAAGAAGAGGCACCTTTTCACATTTTGCTCAAGTTGAGAGCACTTCTGTTCAAACTCGCTTAGTTTCTCAATGGTTTCATCCCTATCTTTTTGAGCATTTATATGCTCAAGCTCTAAGGTCACATACTTCTTTTCAAATGCGTCCAATGAAACCTAGAAATATAAGACAACGAAAAAGAATACAATATAACTAAATTCACAAGAGAAAATAAGCAAACACAAAAGTAACATAATGAAAAATGATACTTCTCCAAACAAATTTTTTTTCTGAAAGCAACAACCAACTATTTTCAAAACAAATCATATATATGCTCTCAAAGATGGACAAATTATAAAATCATTCATAGCAGCAGAAGATGGCCACATAAAATCATTCAAAAACCCATTCCTTTGTGATAAGGTCCACAATGCATCACATATTTGTAGGGTGTTGGCCATTTATTCCAATCCACCTACTGCAACTCAATATCTTTTCAAAAAATGTGACCAATTTCAGCTTTTTGTAATGTCTCTCCCCCCAACTCCATCTTTCACCCTCAACTTAAGAAACCCAAAAGCTCAGTCACAGTTGGCATCATCCTTACCTTCAATGCACCAACAATGACTATCCAATGACAATAGGCATGTCAAATAAAAGGAAAAATAATAATAGGGAAGTATAATAAGAACAAAACTGGTCATATGACCATAAAATCCTGCAATAGGTATCTCCAATAGATATAAAAAACCATTCATGTCTTCCTAAAAGCTTAAACATTTGAAATAGTTATTTGATGATATGGTATAAAGGTTTGTGACTATGTGGTCTAGCATCCAATCACTATTGCCTTGCCTCCATGGAAAGTTTTTAAATAACCCGAAGTATTCCATGTCACCTTTATCACTCAACAAGAAAAACCCAAAAGTTTCACCCCCTTCTGCCGTAACATAAGTTAATCCATCCAAAAGCCAATGTTCCATGCTTCTACCGTTTTGGATATTGATGATGCCTAGCCATTTTGCAATCTCTCTAAGTTTAATTCTACTTTAGGCACTTAAGTCCAGCTTTCTAATACAGTCCATCAATAACCTTATCCGCAACTGAGTATTATCCTTAGCCATCAGAGTACATAGTATGTTACAAATGCCTTAATTTATCCTATGATCTATCTCATATACAACTGAATCAGTGATCTACAAATTATAACATACATCTATATAATAAAATATAGAACTATGCATTTATAAAAAAGAACACAACCAAGAATGTGAAACAACAGTTTGAAACTTTGTACTGTAATTCAAACTTGATTTTATACCGCAGAAAAGTTCCAAAATTCTGCCAAGGGATTTATAAGGTGAATTAGCCATCACAGTCAAACACACTCAACGGAACACATTCTTTGAACATTAATGAAGCACCTTTAATACAGCATTTTCCCTTCGTAATTCATCCACAGTAACTAGCTCTCTTTTTAAAGCTGATTTTTCCTTTACTGACAATTCCAGTTGATTTTGCAGAACAGCATTTTTGTTGCACTCATTAATTGTTGCTAATTTAGCTGCATCTAATTCAAGATTCAGAGCTTCTATCATCTTTTGAAGTTTGGCAATCTCTATTTTCTTAGCCTCTTCATTAGAAACCTGCACAATGAAGCAGAATCTTGATAAAAAGTTCCATATGTCTGACAATGATGCAAAAAAATGAAACTCATATTTTAATAAAATAAAAATGTTTCTCAAAGCCTCTTCACCAGATAAATGACTGATTACAGATAGGAATTAGTACGTAAAACATAAATAAATAATAGAACCAACAATAAGGAACGAGGATAAAAATGGTAAATAATGCACATATGGAGCAGAAGCAAACATTACACTAAAATTATCAGCTAGTCATTTAAAACATTTGAGGCCTATAATAAACAAATGAATAATTAAATAAATAAAAAGCCAGCATCAACAACAGATAAATCTATTAAAGAATGTCTGAAGCAGCAAAAAGATATCATATCTTAAAAGAAGGATTTTCTGGAAGCAATACCCTTATTTTCTTTTCAAGATGTAAACGCCATGTGAGCTCTTCCAATTGCTTCTCGAGTTTATTCTTGGCCAAACGGAGGGCACCAGCTTCATTTGCTTCCTGATATACATAATTAGAACACAACAATAAGAACAACTTTTGCTACTTTGGATGACATCTGCCTTGCCCCCTAGAGGAAAAAATCTTACTTGTTTAAGTCTACGTAGCTCTCTTTTTGCTTGTCTACACCGCCAAAGGCATTGTATTGTCACAATTGATGCTTGATGTCGACGGAAAGATGACCTAACCTTGGACATCCTCCAACAGGACTACAATATCAATGTTACATATGATCATTAAAATAACATAACAAAATCCTATTATCCAAAAGTAACCAAACACAATGGCAAGCAAGTGAAAGTGAATGCAGCAACATTTGAAACCAAAGCAAAAAAAAAATCATTGTTTCATGCCCTGTAAACACATGTAAAGAGATATGAAAACTTAAAATCAGCCAGAATATCATGTTGTTTAGTACAATCAACCAGATTTACAAATACATGCTTAAGATTCAAAATTCCAAACACAACAATTATTTGTTAACTAGGATGGCAAATACAAAATGGAGTCAAGGAGGCCATGCTTTTCACCATCTAAAAGCTCTACCACATAACATATATCTCGGTAAAATTACCTGAATTAAAACAACAGCTCTATGTTCTTTTCCATGCAAGAATCTTTGGCGAGTCACAAAACCTTGAACATGGGATTGTATGATAATAGCAGAAAAATATAGTTTCAAGTAAGCATGCCTCGTAAGCCACATACGAATATATTTCTGAATGGAGATAGCAGCTGCTGTTTCCCTTTTATTAGCATATAACTTTCGGGCAATATATCCTACAAGTAAAAAAAAACTGATAACAATCAAGTCAATGTATCATAACAGAAGTAATGGTCCCCACATCTAATGCACTTGTAATTGTTAAATTTAGGGTAAGACAGAGAGAAGTAGAGAGTGGGATAAAGATAGGGAGAAACAGAGAGCGGGAGAGAGATATGGTGGAATTGCTCAAGAAAAATTGATCAAGTGCACTGCACACTACTTAAGTTATGCAGAATATCATTATCAACATATATTAGACAAGTGGGAAGTGAGAACTATTTCTTACGAAAAGAGTAAGCAGGTGCTACTTCCCAAATATTCATTCCAATCAAAACCTATTACATTTAATGTTTGATGCATGAATTCATTTAACATGTGATCAGTGAACATTGTGTTCTCAGGCACACTCTCAAGTTAAAGCTTACTAAGTTTAAGCTTATTTTGAATAAACCCCTTACTTTTTAAATAATACATAATCAAAACTGTTTGGAAAGGCAACAGAAGGCTTAATTAAAACCAGAGAAGGAACACTAAACAAATTAACTGATTAGAAATAAGAAATGGGAAGAGAAAACTAATTAAATCAGAGAAGAAAACTACTACAAGACAAAAACTGTTGCATGTTATAGGAACATAACAACGGACCAATGACAAAGGTCACAGTGGAAGACATTGCTCCAATACATGTCTAATTTTTAGGGGAAGAGGAAGAAAGAAGTAGAGAAAGAAAGAATTCAATTTGAAAATTTTAATAGTGTACACTACTTAGGTTATGACAGATATCCGGTTAAGGGCCAATTTTTTAAATTTTAAAAAATAAAATAAAATAAAACACTTTTTAAAAAAGTAATTTTTCAAGAGTGTTTGAAAAAGCTAAAAAATTAGATTATTTCGATAATCGATTATATGAATAATTGATTATTGTTATAATTGATGATAAATCAGAATAAAATTTTGTTTGAGTAAATTTGCTGAAAAGTAAGATGTTTAATTTCATTTGGATACAAAAAAAAA